TGACTAGTCCAAATGACCTGCTTTATTGTTATTAGAAGTTATTTCATGAGAGGGAGGTATATGCAAGGGGACCTCCAAATGCCAAAGGAAAGACTGAAGGAAAAGGCCAACAACTTCAGCTTGACAAGAAATGGTTTTTTATTTTTTATTGTTATGCTAATCACCATACATTACATCATTAGTTTTTGATGTAGTGTTCCATGATTCATTGTTTGTGCATAACACCCAGTGCTCCACGTGGAATGTGCCCTTTTTAATACCCATCACCAGGCTAACCCATCCCCCCACCCTCCTCCCCTCTAGAACCCTCAGTTTGTTTTTCAGAGTCCATCGGCTCTCATGGTTCATCTCCCCCCGACTTACTCCCCTTCATTCTTCCCCTCCTGCTATCTTCTTCTTTTTCTTTTTTCTTAACATATGTTGCATTATTTGTTTCAGAAGTACAGATCTGTGATTCAACAGTCTTGCACAATTCACAGTGCTCACCACAGCACATACCCTACCCAAAGTCTATCACCAAGACACCCCATCCCTCCCACCCCCCACCACTCCAGCAACCCTCAGTTTCTTTCCTGAGATTACGAATTCCTCATATCAGTGAGGTCGTATGATACACGTCTTTCTCTGATTGACTTATTTTGCTCAGCATAATACCCACTGGTTCCATCCACATGGTTGCAAATGGCAAGATATCGTTTTTTTGATGGCTGCATAATATTCCATTGTTTATATATACCACATCTTCTTTATCCATTCATCTGTTGATGGACATCTTAGCTCTTTCCATAGTTTGGCTACTGTGGACATTGCTGCTATAAACATTGGGGTGCACGTGTCCCTTCGGATCACTACATTTGTATTTTTGGGGTAAATACCCAGTAGTGCAATTGCTGGGTTGTACAGTAGCTCTATTTTCAACTTTTTGAGGAACCTCCATACTGTTTTGCAGAGTGGCTGCACCAGCTTGCATTCCCACCAACAGTGGCGCATCCTCACCAACATCTGTTGTTTCCTGACTTAATTTTAGCCATTCTGACTGGTGTGAGGTGGTATCTCATTGATGTTTTGATTTGGAGACAAGAAATGGTTTACTAAGGGGACTTATGGACAGAAGTGTGTCTTGGGTAGCTGTAAGAAAGTGGGTTTACACAACCCCACCTCCAGTGAGAACTGCTTTTATAGTTCTAGAGGCTGGGAAGTACATGCTTGTAGACCACCTGGGAGGAAATATTTGAGAATAGTTCTCTGTCATAGTCTTACCTCCAGAGCAGATCAAGGATGTTATGCCCCAGGGTGTATGTAAGGAAGTCTCTGATATGCATATTTAAGAGATTATTGTCATATCTCCTACTTGTTTCAGGTTCCTTTGATGGGAAAAATGTGCACTAAACTCCCATTTATCTGGCATGATTAGAAACTATAGAAGAAATAAATTACATTAAGCCCAAATTGCTTTGCTTTAGCTTTGATTAAAACTAAACTCAGAGGCCACGATTTTTCTTAGAGATAAATTTTACAAAGCTATGGATGCAAATGCTTTTGAGAATGTAAAACACTGGTTTAAGAATTAACCTTTGAGAGTTGATGAGAATTGTAAGTTACAGCAATGCACATTCTGAGACTTGTCATAAATCTGAGTTTGTTTTTATCTGGTACGGGGAACTTTTTTTTTCCTACAGTGTCAAAAGATTTTTTTGAATAATTTCCTTCAGGTTATGAATGTTTGACATAGACAACTACATTTGTTAAAATGTTTGTTATATCCCTAGAGTTAAAAAAAAAGTTAGTTATAGAATTCTTCATTAAATTTGTAAAAAGTGTTTGTCATAGGAAATTAATTTTATTCACTGGCTTTGTGATAATTACCTTGCTGATTTTACCTCACTGATTTGTTGTGATTGATACAACTGGTATAAAAAGACTGTGAGGGGGCCGCCTGGGTGGCATACTCAGTTAAGCGTCTGACTCCTGGTTTTGCACAGGTCATGATCTCGTGGATCGTGAGATCGAGCCCCATGTTTGGCTCGGCGCTCAGTGTGGAGTCTGCTTGAGACTCACTCCATCTCTCCCTTTGCCCCTCCCCCCCAAAATTAATAAATTAATCTTAAAAAAAAAAGACTGCGTATTCCCTTAAAATTTGGAATATAATGGGCGCCTGGGTGACTCAGTTGGTTAAGCGTCTGCCTTCGGCTCAGGTCATGATCTCAGGGTCCTGGAACCAAGTCCTGCATTGGGCTCCCTGCTCAGGGGGAAGTCGGCCTCATCCACTGCCCCTCCCCCCACCCTGGCTTGTGCGTGTGCATGCTTGATCTCTCTATCTCAAAAACAAATAAAATCTTTAAAAAAATTAGGAATATAATTAAAGGGAATTAATTCTGGTGAAAATTTATGTTGTTTTACATGTAAAGTGGCTTTAACAAATTAATTTAGAAATGCAATGCAGAATATCCAGTTTGCCACAACTGGGTATTCAGGCGAATGGAATACTCTTGTTTATTTTTATATTCTTGTTTTATTTTAACTTTATTCATCTGTGGATCATCAAATTCCTACAGATTAAATGGTAGTACCATACACTTAAATCTTCCCTAAGCGTATAAACACTTTCATGGGTGATGATTCAGAAGGCATCGGCTCTGCTAGCTATCACTCATTGCCTTGTATTTGCCCAATAAATAGACACCCCATGCTGGAAGCTGAATAGGTAGAAGCTGGAGGTGGAGAAAAAGACAGGAGCAAGTAGAATAAGCAAATAGCTTGGAGTCAGACTGACAGTGGTCCAAATCTTGTCTCTACCCCTTTCCAGCCTTGTGCTCCCTGGGTAAATTACTCTGAGCCTCAAGGTCATCATCTGTAAATTGGGGGTAATGACATTAAGCCATCTCATGGGGTTTTTTTTGGCGGGGGGAGAATGTAAAGGATACACTGAGATTGTGATTATAAAGCACTTAGTATACCGAGAGCACAGAAGTACTTAAGAAATAATGGCAGGTATTACTACCTCGCTGAGAATACATATTCTGCTGCCTGGAGGAGTAAAGATAGCTCCAGAATTTCTGCTAGGAGGGGCTCAAGAGCAGTAATCACAAAGGAACGCAGGGTAGGACGCTGCTTTTACATTGATTCTACGCTTAGTTAGAGAAAACGAGGAAGGGTTTACGACTTACAGGTATTAGAACATTCCCCCCATATTCCTTGGCACTGCTCCCGTTCAGTGATGATATTCAGGCGATTTCTTGCACTCCCTCTTCTGTCCCAGGCAACTAACCAGTCAATAAATACAAAAAGGCACTGCCAAGGGATTGGACTCAGGGACAGAAGGGAAAGAGAGAAGGGCACTGTGCTTTCTTGCCAAGTGTGTGGATGTCCTGTCCTTACACTTCTGCTAAATCCCACTTACTCCTTTATATCAACTGCACCTCGGCCGCACTCTTCCTTGACTTCAGCCAATCTCCATTTCCCGGGAGCGAAGGGCAAGACCTTTGGTTTTATTGGCCACAGGCAGCAAAGTGGTCCTCCTGAGTGCAGCCTGGTTTCCAACAGCCCCTCTGATCGCTGGAGGACAGACACTGCCCAAATTCCCTTGCAGACTCTGCTGAGGCCCACAGGAGTTGAACAGACATCCATTCTCAGCACCAACTCAGGTCGAGGATACACTCAGGCATCCAGAGCCTCGGCCAGTCTCTCTCGCTTCTGCCTGGCCACACTCTTTACCCAGGCAGCAAGAGGTTCGATCTTTAGCTTTGGAGGTGACTCTCTAGGTTTGAAATCCAGGGTTCATCCCTAGTTAGCTTGTGACCTTCGGCAAGATATTTTTCTGTGTCTAGTTTTCCCCACACCGAGACTGACCCAAGGACCATTAATCTGGAGGGTCCGGCACAGCAACTGCATAGAAAACTTCCAGTAAATACCAGCTGTGACTACCTCACAGGCCCGGGACCAAAACAGACAAACCTATTAAGTTGCTCTAATTATATAGTGAAAAGACCCCGGGTTCTAGTTATAGTCCCAACACTGACACTTAATGATCTTGGACAAGTTGGACTCTTTGATCCTGTTGCCCCCGACCGCCCGTCACGTGATGGACTTCACTGATTTAAAAAAAAAAAAAAACCTCAGTGAACGTTTACTGAGTGCTAACTTCCAGACTCCTTCCCCAAAGGAGTACCCCCCAAGGCTACAATTATTAGCCAATCAGCGCACTCACCAGGTGTTGAGGGACTCTGGTGGGGGTTGGTGGGGGGGCAGACTTGTTTCCCTCTGCTTTAGGGATGTTTGGAGGGCCAGATTTACTGGGCAAAAGGCGGTTGAACAAAGCTTGAAGGATCCATTCACGAGTTTGCCTTGTAATAACTGGCGATGCTTTTATGTTACCGTCCCTTTCAAACTTGAGCACTGGTGCAGGAATTTGGTTCTGAAAATAAGCCCACTTCTCCTTTTTATTGCCGAGGTCACTGTGATTGAGAAGCCAGTGGAACCGCATAAAGCAGGTTATGCCTCCTCTTCCCTCTTCGAGGCACCATGACCTCCTAGTACCCGCGCGACCTGGGACGGGGGGGGGGCCCTCTGGTCGCCTGGGAGGAGAGCAGGGCCTGGTGGTGCAGGGGGAAGCTGCTCTGGCCGGCCAGCTAACTGGAACGGAGAAACAGAAGGGGCTAAGCGGAGCGTGGCAGTGCTGTCCTCGCCTTGTGTACAAGGGCACGCTGTGAGTGCCCACGGCCGGCCGCCCCAGACCTGAGACACCGCGCCATCCAGCTCCAAGGTCGGGGGGTTGGTGGGGAGAGGCTCCGGCTCCGGGACGGTGACTTTCGCGCGGCACCTCTCCACCCCAGGGAGCGACGCGGGACCTGGGGAAGGGCACAGGCCGCACGCGCGCAGGGTCACGTGGGCGGGCCGGGCGCGTGCCCCCGCACCCACGAGAGGAGGCGGGGATGGGGGCGGGGCCGGCGGCGCGGCCTCCCGTGAAGCCTCGCGCGGGGAAGGACCGGAACTCCGGGCGGGCGGCTTGTTGATAATATGGCGGCAGGAGCTGCCTGGGCTTCTCGAGGAGGCGGTGGGGCCCACACCCGGAAGAAGGGTCTCTTTTCAGGCTAGTGCGGCGGCCGCTGCGGACCCGGAAGTCCGGGCCGGTTGCTGAATGAGGGGAGCCGGGCCCTCCCCGCGACAGTCCCCCCGCGCCCTCCGCCCCGACCCGGGCCCCGCCATGTCCTTCTTCCGGCGGAAAGGTAGCAGAGGGGGCTCCGGCGGGGAGTCAGGCCCGGCCTCAGGGGCGGCGGTGGGGCAGGTGGGCCTGCACGGGCTTCCTCCCGGGTGGCAGCGAGGCCCTCGGCCTCCGCGCAGACGCCCCCTGCGTGCCCTGCTTTGCTCCGGGACTCTGCAGGGAGGGAGAAGGTGGCCTCCTCGCGCGAGGTCAGAGGGGAATTGTCTCGCTGGTCCAAAAGTATTTGCCGAAGCGCGTACAAGTTAATGCCTGTTGGCGCAAAAACAGTTTTCGCGTTTGTGTGCGTGTGTGTCTAAACTGTGGATCCAGAAAAGAAATTCCTTTAGTACCGTGTTACGGAAGTTTCTGACTTTTAAGCATATTGAGGATTTTATGTCTAAAAGCAACATGTGAAAAAGCTGTTTTCTTCAACTAGTGCTATTTTCTAGTTTCCCTTTTTGGGGGGTGTGGGGAGGGGGATCCTGCAGTTCCTAAAATAACATTACTTACTGCCAAATGTTCCCTAATGAAGAAGATTATTTCTTTTGATGACTTAGCAAGTCGACTAAACTGTTGGAACGCTCACTTTGTAAACTACTTGTATTTCTGATTTTCAATTGTAATAGCTGCCCAGTTTTTAAGTAGAGGCAGCTTAATTTTGATCCTGGTTAAAGTTGTTGTGCTGCATTCAAAATATATATCCAAAATGAACAAGTGGAGGTCTTTTTGGATGATAGTGGTTCTTTCAATTCTTGTTATTTAAGAGAAAAGGTACCAGAGAAAAACAAAACAAAAAAAACCCACCAAACCGTATCAGGGACTTGGGTTCACATGACTGCTCTGCTACTTTCTGTCACCTGGGAAAGAAAAGCGTTAACCCACTTTTTTCTCCTCTCTCAACCGAGAATTAGATGATTCCTAAAGGCCCCATTCAGATATGAATTCAAGAATTCCTTTTAAGTACAAGTAGAGTTTTAGTAACTGATGTCATGGGGTGAGTGAATGAAACTGTGATGAATGAATGAAAGCACTGCTGAATGAAGGAAACCTGTAAAATGGTACAAGGAAGCTTTGTTGTTAAGGTACCTTGGTGTAGTTTATAGCTCTAATTTGTTTGACAGTGTTAAAGTAGGTTTTGTGGGGTTTTTTTTTTTTTTTTTTAAGGGGAAAGAAAGCATTCTATGTATAATGAGGCAGATTGTGTGTTGTGTAATAGACTTTTGTCTCTGTTCAGCAAATACTTAATGAATGTCTGCTGCTCGGCAGGCACTGTGTTAGGCCCTCATTATTAAGCACTGAACAAGAAAAAGTCCCTGCACCTATGGAGCTTATTGTCTGCTGGGGCAGACAGACAATAAATCTCTCTTTCAGTACCTGTGTGTATTTACAAATTGATAACATGTTATAACACAGATAAGGTGAGAGGAGAAGCATATTTTGGTTTGGTGTTAGAGAAAAGCCTCAGCAGGTGACCTTGAAACTTAGAGCTCAGGGGTCAGTAGGAGGTAACAGAGGCTAGGGAAGAGCATGTTCAAAGGTTGTGAGTCAAGGAAGAGTTTGGTGCCCTTCAAGAAAGGAAGGCAGGCCACTGTGATTTGGGCTTAGAGAGGTAGACAAGATTCAGAGCTTTGTAGGCCATAGTTAGGTTTTATTCCAAATGCAGGGACACTATTTAAAAAAATTTTTTTTTAAAGAGAGAGCACAAGAGGGGCAGGGGAGAGGGGAGAGAATCTTAAGCAGGCTACATCCAGTTTGGGGCTGGATCTCATGACCCTGAGATCATGACCTGAGCTGAAATCAGGAGTCAGACACTTAACCCACTGAGCTACCCAGGCGCCCCTTAAAATTTTTTAAAGAGGAATGATTTGATCTTACGTTATAAAAAGATCATTGTAGATGCTTTTTGCAGACTGAATGTGGCAAAAGTAGAAGCTGGAGATGCTTCTGTTTAGGGATCCCATCCAGTCTTTAAATACCATTTTTAAATACCACCTATATGCTGATGACTCCTGAGTTTACATCTCCAGCTTGAATTCTCTCCCCTGAATTAGGAATGGTATATCCAACTGTTGGTCCACTTTATACCTCTACCTGATAGATACAGTTATATCTATTAATAGAAATAATAGACAGATGGATCTTTTACTTACTATATCTAAAATCTAACTACAGATTTTTTGTCACCTCAGTAAATTGCATTTCTGGTCTTTTAATTGCTCAGGCTAAAACTTTAGTACCTTCTTGAACCTCTCTTTCTCTCCTACTCTATATCTACATAAGCAAATCTGCTACGTTTACCCCAGAATGTAACCAAATTCAACCTTTTCTCACCATCCCTGACTATTAACTCCCTGGTCTAGGTGGTCATCTCTAGACTAGATTGGACAGTTAAGGAAGTCCTCTGAGAGGATGTCATTCAAATCTCAGCTTAAATGTTAAGAGGAAGCTGGTTTTATGAAAGTAGAGAAAGCAAGGGTGCCTGGGTGGCTCAGTCGGTTGAGTGTCCGACTCTTGATTTTGGCTCAGGTCATGATCTCAGGGTCGTGAGACTGAGCCCTGCATTGAGCTCCGCGCTGAGCTTGGAGCCTGCTTGGGATTCTCTCTCTCTTTCCTTCTGCTCCTCCCCCCACCCACCTCAGCGCGCGCTTGCTTACTTGCTCACTCTGTCAAATAAATGAATAAAATCTTTAAAGACAAAAAGGAAATAGAAAAAGCAGAGTTATGTTGCTGTAGGCTTCAATTTGGTTTCCCTTCTTCCATCCTTGACCCCTATGGCATATTTTCAAAATGCATTATGCCACATCTCTGTTCAAATTCCTCCAGTAGCTTCTTATACATGGCCCTCCTTAATCTAGTTCCCATTTCCTCTCTGTGTTCATCTCCTCTCCTTTTCCATCACTGTTCCATTTATATTGGCCTCTTTGTTGTCAAATACATTCCCGCCTCAGGGCCTTTGCACTTATTTTTTCTCTCTGCCTGGAAACCTCTTCCCACAGACACCCACTATTTTGCTGTCTCATTTCCCCAGGTTTTTAATCATTTGGCATCTTGGTGAGGCTTTCTCTGTCCATCTTACTTTTAACATTGCAGTCCTTAGCCCCTGCACTCTTATCTTGCCTACTTTCTCTACAGCATTTATCACCATCTACTTTTCTCTGTATTTTATTAAGGTGGAAGCTGATTTTGTTCACAGCTGTATCCCCATGTCTAGGTCAGTGCCTGGGTATAGTTAGGAATTTAGTAAATATTTGTTGAGTAAGTAAATAAAAACAAGAAAAAATATCCACTAGTAAAAAGTGCTGAGCAGGGAATTTAAACTGAAGTGGGATTAGATCACAGGATGATAATATTTGTTCAGACAATAAGGGAAGGCTTGTCTGAGAAGATGGTATTTAGTTTGAGATCTGAATGAGGGGAGAGAGCCAGCCTCACAAAAGATCAAAGGAACTGCATTTTAGCCAGAGAGAACTAGAAGTACAAATATCCTGAGGCAGCAATAGCTGGGTGTGTTTAAGGAACCTGAAGAAGGCTGGAACTTACTGGGTATGGGATATGTTTTGGAGATAGAAATAGCATAACTTGAATAAGTGATTGGGGTAAAAAAAAATTGGGAAAGCTTGGGGCGGGAAGAATTAAAAACTGTCTTTTGGCAATTGTGAGTTTGTGATAACACATCCATGCGGATACGTTGAGGAGGCAGTGGGATGTATGAGTCTGTAGTTCTGGAAAGAAGTTGGAACGTGAGATCTGGTTCTGGCTTTAAAAATATTTTGCAGGGCGCCTGGGTGGCTCAGATGGTTAAGCGTCTGCCTTCGGCTCAGGTCATGATCCCAGGGTCCCGGGATCGAGTCCCGTATCGGGCTCCCTGCTCCTTGGGAGCCTGCTTCTCCCTCTGCTTCTCTCTCTCCCTCTCCCTCTCTCTCTCTCCTCCTGTCTCTCATGAATAAATAAATAAAATCTTTAAAAATAAATAAATAAATAATAAATAAAAATATTTTGCAGGAGGGTGGGGGGATGGGTTAGCCTGGTGATGGGTATTAAAGAGGGCACATTCTGCGTGGAGCACTGGGTGTTATGCACAAACAATGAATCATGGAACACTACATCAAGAACTAATGATATAATGTATGGTGATTAACATAACAATAAAAAATTTAAAAAAATATTTTGCAGGGGCGCCTGGGTGGCTCAATCAGTTAAGCCGCTGCCTTTGGCTCAGGTCATGATCCCAGGATTCTGGGATTGAGCCCTGCATCAGGCCCCTTGCTCAGCAGGGAGCTTGCTTCTCTCTTTCCCTCTGCCTGCCACTCCCCCTGCTTGTGCTCTCTCTCTCTGTCAAATATATAAATAAAATCTTTTAAAAAAAATATTTTGCATAACTGATGATTAATGACATGGGACTAGGTCACGTCACCTAGAGAATACATAAAATGTGTGAATTAGTTATGTTGAAAGGCTAAGGCTGTTGTAACAAAGATACACTGAAGTGTAATGGCTCAAACAAGATAGATTTTTTTATTACTCTCTTGAGTGTAACGGTCCAAGTTCATTGGGTGGCTTTGCTTCACAATCATTCAGGGATCACTTTTCTCCCATCTTGTTACACCTCTTTCCCTTAGGGTATGGTCTATTTTGTCAAAGCTGGGTCATAGCCCTTTCTGTCTGTCCTCAGTCCTCTGACCCATGGTAAGGAGGAAAGAGAAGCTTTGGCCAGAAAGTGGTACATAATCATTTCTATCATATTCTGTTGGTGAGAAGTTAGTCATATGGTCATAGATAACTGCAAAAGCTTCTGGGAAATGTAGAGTAATTAGCCAGCTAGTAACTACCTACTAGGCTACAGCCTTCTTGCTAGAAAGAGGAAAATGAGTTCTGTGGGCCAGGTAGCATTTCCTGCCATACTATACACAAGAATGGAGCCTAGGTGAAAGCTCTGGAGTTAAGCCAGCTTTTAGAAGTTAAGTTGAGGGGCACCTGGGTGGCTCAAATGGTTGGGTGTCTGCCTTCCGCTCAGGTCATGATCTC